ATCTATGTCTTCTTGAGAGGTGCTTAGCATTTCTTTTGTCAATCTTTTTATATCTTGCCTCACTGGAATTAGAATTTCAGTTTTAAGTTCGTCTATGAGGTCACAAAAGTATTTCTTTATTTCTGCTGGTGTGTGGCTGATATTGCATGATTGCTGCCCTTGATATCTTCTTTATTTGCCTCTCTTGGACTTAATTTTCCCTGGGTCAGTGGCTGGAGATTTTTTCTTGTTTCTTTCTCTTGTTATGTTTCTGGTTTCTTTTAGACAGGTGTATGGTAGAGGTCTCAGGTCCTTTCCGTATTGCCTATGGTTTTTCTGAAGTGTGCTGGCTAGGGGATTGCTGCCTTCTCTAGTTTACTGTTGATCTGAGATGCACACAGGAATGATGTGGGCTGGCCCCTGTCTTCTGAGCCAGTCACTGGCAAGTGTCTTCAGCACGTTAGTCTGTGTTGTGCAGATGTCACAGGTTCAGGACAGTTTCGTTTCTGACTATGAGGTCCTGACCAGGGCCATGACCCAGCCCAAACAGGTCCCACCAGTCCTCTTTGGGCCAGGGGTGGCCGACTGATGCCACTGTGGTTCCTGGTTTAGGCCCGTCCTGCCCAATTCCAGTATATCATCCAGCTGGTCACCCTCTCTGCAGGACTCAATTCCTAACACTCCCCATGGGTTAATGCAGCTCTCCATGTTGGTTCTGCCCTCCATTGTGTGGAATCCTCCTGCCAAGGGCCCTGGGCTCACCAACTCCCAATTTTGGCGGCCATGACTTCAGTGTAATCGTGAATCATCCAACTCCAAGGTACGCCCAGCATAGCATGGGATCAGCCCCCGTGAGAGCATCTGGTTCCAGCCTTTTGTCCATGTTTTTCCTTCCTTCCTTTCTTTTTCTTTTTCCTCAGTTTCTTCCTGAGAATGAGAATACCTCTCCTTTCATCCAGTCTTCTCCATGGTGTTAAATTCTAGAATCTGAGTTGTTTTTCTCAGAGAGGCTCTCTACCCTGTTACCCATCAAGCCACCATCTTCATACTGGATCTCTATCACTCTTTTTAAAAATTTTTTAAAATTTTAAATATAGTAAAATGCAACAAAACAAGACAGAACAAAGCCAATCAAGACAATGCAGCAAAATTGGTACAGAGCAGGATACAAGGAAAACAATAGCTACCATAGTATATTGTGTTATCTTCATAATAATTGTCTATTCCATCATATATAGCAAAATCAAACCAAAAACAAAACACTATAAGTCCAATCAGAATATAATATTGAATAAGAAAAAATAATCAGAACAAAGCCAAACAGTTAAAACAATATTGGACTTCAAAGACAAGATAGAAGTGAATTCCCCATATTTGCTGTGTTGCATACTGTCATCCTCCCAAGTGGTGCTCAGACCGCTGGCCTCAGGTCTGCAAAATCGACCGCACCATATAAGCACTTAGTTGTTTGATGTACCTTAGTTGCTGTCAACTCAGGCTGTCCTCTAACCATCTGGTTGCTGACAGGGTGGTGGGGGGTGTTTGATTCTCAGCCTATGCGCTGATAGACTCATAGGAGGTACTGACTTTTCTCTCCCTGGAACACACGTGGCTTGTGCAGCTTATCAGGAAGGCTGGCTGGTTGATTTCTTGGTTGGTCCCCCAAATCTCAGGATGGTAGATTCTCAGGACAAATATATTGCTCTGAAATATTTTTCTTTGAGTAGCTGTTGAATTGTTATTTCTTGGTTCCTTTTTTTTTTTAAATTAAGAGATCTTTTCTTTTGTGATTGCTAGCTGTGATCCTGTTTTCAAGGTCTGAAAGTCTATCTTTTATTTCCTTCAAACAATTTTGTCAGCTTCCAATGGAGTTTTTAATTTCTTGAATGTTTCTTTGAATCTGTTGCATGCATTGTAGTTCTTTCCTCTATTTTTCATTCAAGGTTTCAATAATTTTCCAGTGTTCCTCTTTTTTTTAATCTATTGGAATTTTCCTGGGTTCCCCCAGATGAGTTGGTTGTGGGGTCCCAGGTATTTCCTGCATTGGCTGCCCACCTGCAGTGAAGGGGCATGGATCAAGCACCTGGGTTTCTCCTATTCCAGGTTCCTGGGGAGGTGGTGGGGTGCAGGGCTGGTTTCTCCAGAGATGCACAGCTACACTGAGGCTCCCCCAATGGCAGTAAGTACATGGGAGTTTGGCTAGCTGGTTTTCCCCACCAGCACTGGTTACCTACCAGTCCTTGATGGTGGCTGGTAGGCTTGTGAGGGCATCTATGTTCAGTTTCATTCTCTGGTATCTACAATTATGTGATAATGTCTGTGTTGCATTCCTGAGATGTGCTGGATATGGGCCTGATTTTGGCCTCTAGATGTATGAACTTAGACTGGTCTTCTGTTGGTGAGTTTTCCAGAGTCCAAGTGCTATCTCCTTGCTGCTGCCTCAGATGCTTCCACACAACTGGCCTCATTTATTACTTCACCCTCCAGAGGTGTGTGTGCATCTGTGTGCTGGGCTCTTGTTCTGGGTCTTGGGGTTCCCCTCAGTCTTATACTCTTCCAGCTGGCCTGCCTTCAGGGATGCAACAAATGAGGCCCATATCCCAAACTCACTGTCTTCTAGCCATCCTGTCCTCCAGGATGCAATGGAGGGGCACAAGGCACAGACTCACTCTCTTCCAGATGGCCTGCCCTCCAGGAAGGGCACAGAGTGTGGATTCACTCACTTCCAGCCAACCCACATCTGGGGTGTAATACAGGGGCCCAGAGCAGATTGACTCTCCTATAGCTAACCCACACTCTGGGATGTTATAGAGGGGCACAGAGCATGTACTCACTCTCTTCCAGCTGGCCTGTCCTTCAGCAGGTCAGGAGACATTTACTTTGGCTCAAAGTTTCAGAGAATTCATTCTATGGTGAGATGACTCTAAGGCAGAAACATTATGGCAGAATGGTGTGACAGATCAAAGATGCTTAGTTCATGATGGTTAGGAAACAGAGCAAGAGGACAGTGCCAGAGAGGGAGGAGTGAGGGAAAAGACCTCAATGTTTTGCCTCCTGACCCATCCAGATATGCCCAGGAGTAAGGTTTACGAATCCCTGGGTGGATTCCAAAGTAATCAAGTTGACTCTCCCTCCTAACTACCATATACATATTAAATATGTGAAATTCTTTGTACAGGAATTGTACCTTAATAAAGTTGTTTTAAAAAATGAAACAGAGGTTCATGCTTAATTTTTGGAGTTATATATATATATATATATATATATATGTTTATATATGTTTATATCTTCATTTTATGGGTGAATAAGTTGGTAATCTTATATAGATAAGTGATTTGTTCAATGTCACACAGTTAAAGAGTGTTAGAAATAAGAAGCTAGCCAAGAGGTGTCAGATTTGAATTTCTGTGTCTTAATTCTAATCTACTATCCTAAGAAATGTGGTTATTCTTTGTTTTGTCTAACAGTCCTATTGACACTGTGTCTTCAAAACTCCCTAACGTGATGCTGTCTAATATGATTCCTCTAGCGACACGCAACAACTGAACACTTGAATGTGGCCAGTACAAATGGAAATGTAACACATGAATGAAATCCCAAATATTTAGTTAAAAAAGGAATAAAATATTAAACAAATAATTTTATATTGATCATATATTGCTCAAATAAATAATGTTTAGATATACTGCATTAAGCAAAATAGTATTAGAATTTTCACTTGCTTTTGTTTTCTCCACATTCTCTCTTATGCATGAATCCTTTCCCCAACATCTGTAATAAAAGACAATGTGTCACTGGGCATGGTTGCTCATGCCTACAAATCTAGCTATTTGAAAGGCTGAGGCAGGGGGATCACAAGTTTGAGAACAACCCAGGCAACTTAGCAAGATCCTGTCTCAAAATAAAGTAAAAAGAGCTACAAATGTAGTTCGGTACTCCATGGATGCAACCCCAAGACCACTACTACAGAAGTTTTTTTCTATTGCTCAGGAAAAGCACAGCGTGTGAGAGTTATATGTTCTGGAGCCTGGGCGGAGGCCACCATGGGCCAAACTCAATGGTCTAAGTCACTGTTCCCAGTCTTCACTGTCTCCTGGCATCTACACTTAAAGTTACAACTCTCTCACTTCCAGGAGGAGAACTACCAGCATCTCCTGAGATCCACGCCATGTTGGAACTTAGGACACTGGGAAACCAAGCAAGCATCTCCCCTCCCTGGTAAGTGGTGGTGGTGTGGCAGACTGCGGCCCTTCCAAGGGGAGAACAACTAGCAGTTCCTGAGGTCCATGCCATGTTGGAACTTAGGGTGCTGAGAAACCAAACAACCAGCCTTCCTCCCTGCTAAGCAATAGTGAACCTACTGGTGCATGGCCTAGAGTCAAACATCCCACTTCCCCTACCCCTCTTCTCTTGTCCCCCTGTTAGCAAATGGGAACCAGAAATCTGAGCATCTCTTGGGAGGTTGACCATAGCGAATAAGGGGGACTTCCTTCTACCATCTCTTTGAAGGCAAATATTTTTATTACTGTTTTGCTCTATTCTGATTAATAGTACTGCTCTATTCAATATTCTGTTTTGATAAGTTCTATAATGTTCTGCATTTCATTTTATTTTGATATACGTGATTGACAGAACAACTATTATAAAGATAACGAAATATACTGTGATACCTATTACTGTTATCCTGGTAACCTGCTGTGAAGTCCTGTACCAGTTTCACTATATGATCTTAGTTGGCTTTATTCTGTCTTGTTCTGTTGTATTTTACCACTTTCAAAATAAAATTTAAAAAAATTACAACCCTCTCTAGCTCTGCCTACTCACAAAGTCTTCTGTGACAAACATAACACTGCATAAACCATAGGTGATAACACAATATTTATTGAATAACTGCCGACAGAAGTAATGGTTTTATGTTTTATTTTATGCAGTGTGGAAATTGAGAAGAACCTAAAGCTTCAGGGAAACGCCACATCCCAGCCGTGGGCTTCCTTCAGGTCCACTGACGGCGCCGGCAGCCTCTACGGTGGAGATGGTGGTGGTGTGGGGAAGTTGGCAGGCTCCCTCCTTTGCTTGGTGTCATTGTTGGTAAAAGCGGCGGCGTGCAGAGTATGTTCTGGTCCCCTGTTGCTGGTGGTGACAGAGTTCACACGGGCGTCCTTTGTGCTGATGTCAGAGCTGACACTGGGAAAAAAGCCAGTACTTTTGGCGAGAAGAGGTAAAATATGGTTTATTTCTGTTTCAATGCTAAAGTTCTTGTTGCTTAGCATTTCTAAAACTTCTTCCTTAGGTATGTGGGGTATCTGTTTCCTCAGGTAGATATTTATCATCCGAACCACTTTTGACCCCAGGCAGCACTTTTTCTGCTTGCATTTCTGCACTTCTTTTTCATCCACATCGCACTGGTTCTTGCATTTTCCATAACCGCTTAAACATCTTTTTGCTATTAAAAATTCTGTATAAGGTAAAGAAAAAAACATTACAACTAGAGATGATGTTAAAACCGCTGGAAAGAGATGAATAGAATAAGAGAATTTGTTAACTTTAAGTGTAGTGTTTAGGGTTAGTGGTGCAGGCAGCAGGACAGGCCTAGAGAGTCTCTGTGCATCTCTGGAATCCAAAACTTTTTTTTTTTTTTTTTGGTCTTTTTCGTTTTTATCAGTACCGGGATCGAATGACTGCCTGCTTGCAAGGCAGGCGCTTATGCTGCTGAGCTAAATCCCCAGCCCTCCCAATACTTTTTTTTAGTTTCTCTGCCTTGAGTAATTTTAAAATCTAAGGAGACAAAGAGGAAAAGATGAATAAGAAATCCAAATATTTGCTTTTAGGGTAGTATTTTTTAACCTCCAACTTAGCACCTTTGACACTTGCAGAGTGTCTATCCAATTTCTGTGATCCTAGGAAATCCCCATGAGAGTAAAATCTTCCATAAAATTATTCCAAGAAAGAAAATTTAATTAACATGTATTAATTATCTATATTAATAGAGGTCAGGGTGATATTTAAATGCATGCATACAGCATGCTCTGACCAAATCCAGACTTTCTCTATCCACCCACACTGCCTTTCCAGTCTTTAGGAATCACTATTCTATATTCAGGTTTACTTTATTTTTTAAACTTCTACATATTAGAAAGAACATGCTGTATTTGTCTTTTTCTGTAGCCATAAAGAGTGAAATCCTGTGGTTTACAGCGAGATGGGCGGGAAACGGTAAATGAAATAAGTCAAGAAAGAATTTTAAAGATAATAAGATTGTTAGAAACGCTATCTTCTTTCCAAACCCAGTGGTGCTTGGCCTTTCTGTCCTTGACAATCACTGCACACGTGGTTCCTGGGGCATGATATCCTGTCACTTTCAGCCTCTGGGCACATTCTGTCCCTCTGAGGTCTCCGTCAATAGCATAACCTTGACCTCATCTCTGTCCTGATCACTCCCACATATTGTTACCTCAATAAGCTCCCCACTAAGCTTTAGTAATTTATCTTCATGTGCTGGGTTATTTTTCTATCCAAATGTCTCATCATTTTTCCTGAATCAAAAAAATCTCTCTGTTTTAACAATTTTGTATAAGTTAGAAGTGATATATGTAGCATCAGATAAATTTCAAAGACTATTTTCACCAAATACATGCCATCCCAGTGTAGGAAGCAACTACATAGATTAACACTATTACACTCATGTGGATTTTAGAGCTAAAAGGGATTAAGCACCTTTACCTTATGTGCCCATGTGTGATCCATCTAAGGTCCCAAGATAAAAACACCAAGACATCTTCAATGCTCTTATTTTCCTTCCCTGTCTCACTGCTAACTATTTCAAATATCTGAGTGATCTTGTGTTATGAAACAAGTCTCCTTGCTTCTCCTTTCCTTTTGGAAAAACAAATGCTATTTTTCTGGTTCAGTCTTTTGCTATGTGCATCCTTAGATTCCTCTATGGTAGTTTGGGGGTTTCCAGGAAGACAAAGGCCGAGAGAAGGAATAAGACTAAAAATCTGAAAGGTGAAATGGAGAAGACGGACCTGTTGATTAAATGTTAAGCAAGACTTTTTTTAGTATAAAGATTTTCTCTTTCCTGCACCAACGTGAAAACTGACTAGGATTTTTGCTTTAAGTAATAGTTTACATTAGAAATACAGCTGAAATGTGGGAGACCTGGGTTAGGCCTCAGACTGATAGATACATAGGGCAGAAAGACAGCATCATATCTTGTATAGTCCCTGAGTATACCAAAAACTACCTGCTTTCCCTGTAGCTCCCTGGGTGTTTCCGTCAGACAGGATAAAGGGTTGGGTCCAAAGGGCAAGAGCTGCAAAGGGGATGCATCGTTTCAGCCACCTCTCTGGGTATCTCATCTTTCAGCATCTCTTTGTGTTTCTGTTTCTGAGCAACCAAATCCCCGATCCTTCACACTGACCCCTCTTAAACTCAGCCATCCACATTACCTGTATTCGCATGGTACTGTAGCATGAGGCTGGCGAAGATAGGAAATAGGAGCTTCATGGCTGGGTGCCAGAGAGGAAGCCTTGGATCTGGGCTGGCGTTCGTCAGCTCCAGCCTTTATTGGCCTCTTCATGGCCTTAGGCCATGGGCAGCAAGTACAGCCAGGACAGGTCTGTGCACTGGTCACGGTATTTGTGTTCTCTCTGCTTCTGTTTGGTTATAGTGTTTCCTGAACACATCTGTGTATCTCTAGTTTTCATCCAGGGAGGAAATAGAGACATCTGAGACAGGAAAAAAGGACCAGATTCTTTTTTCACTTTTCCTCCTTAATGTTGGAGTAAGGTGGGGGTTATATATTCGATTCACTGATCGTCAGCTCAGTTACGTCTAAGACACTTAGTGGATGAGAATCGGAAAAGCTAGAGGAGTGAACTCTGCCTTACTTGCCCTGTATCTCCACGTCATCACAGGAGCTCAGTATTGTTGAATAAGTATGCTGGAGGCAGCTCTTAGAGCTTTTGAGTAGAACCAAGCTTCCAGTCACATGGTGTCCTTTGCTAATTTTTTTTTTTTAAACTGTGCCTTTAAAAAAAGAAATTCAGATATTGAAGATCATTGACTGTGAGTGTCTGTTATGGATTAAAAACTGATGGTCCACTTAGTGCCAGCTGAATTAAATCAGCATGGTGTTGAGCGTAGATGTTCTACCTGAGGAAAGTGGTCAGCATAGATAGACATGGAGAAGGAGAAACTAGGCGTTGTGGGTTTCTGTAAGTGTTGCTGTTTGAGCCGTTGGTTCTCCAGCAGGAGCTCATCATGACTAGCTTCCCCAGTGTTTGACCATTGTCACTGGGGGAGCTCGGGACCTTGTTGGTGACAGTGGCTGTGGTTCACTTTGGGGTGGGGGCCTCTGGTCCTTACATCAAGCCTTGCTTCCTGGCTTTGGAGTGGAAGACATGTGCCATTTAATCTCCAGGACAAACTCATCATGCTGGCTTTCCGGCATGTACTCAACTGTTCTTATCATCGGAGGAGCTATGGACTGAGGATGGCTTTGCTGCTTTCCAAGACAGCCCCAGTCTTTGTTTTGAGTGTGACTTTCATCCATGTAGAACCCTCTATTAGTATTTTTGGTGCAATAAAAGAGTAAAATATAAAAGTAAAAAGTAGTCTTTATTCTGAGGATGTGGATAGGAGTCCACAACCAAAGGTGGTGTGGCTTTTTCTGACTGGAATGTGGGGTATGGGATATATATATATATATATAACCTCTGACCAGGGGTGGTGCTTAGGGTGGGTATTTTGCACGCACTGGGAAAGGAAAAATGAGGTTGTAATAGGAGAAGGAGGAAGTGACCTCAGGGTGAACATCCCTGATTCAGCCTCCCACGGCATAATGTCATGTAACTTACTCTAGGGCAAAACGCGTTCACCCTCAACCTTGCAGCACAGCTCCTTCACCCCGCTGGCACAGACTTTCTAGTTTCCACCGCAACCTTCGGACCTTCCCAGCACAGATCTGTAAAACAGACTTGTGGCTCTGGGCTCTGGGCCAGAGCCACAAGTCTGTGGGCTCTGGGCCTCCAGCTGGACCTATGGGAGGCACTGTCATGAGCTCTGGATCTTCATCTGGACTCATGTGGGACATTGCTGTGGGATCCAGGCCCTTGGCTGAATATTCTGAGTCTTTAGTGTTGTGGATAGATTTCCTGCATTTTCTTGTGTTTTATTCTGGGTGACCATCATAAAATAATATTATAAATTCTGTGTCCTCATTCTAATTGTTCTCCTCACAACCCTGACTACAACAGTGTCGTATTAATTGTTTAATCCCCAAAAGTTTCCCTGGCTCCTTTCCTTCCTAAAGTTCAAGGCTTCCTAGCATTTCATTAGCTACCAGCGTATCTTTCCAGATAGTTTGTTTTAAGTTATGCTGCTTTTCTTTAGAAACATAAAAAAATTCCTTTATGAACTTTCAGTTTATGAAATCTGTATTTTACTGGATGAACAAATCAAAGTAATCAAACCAACACACACTTATTTTCCTTGACACCAGAAGATAGAATTATCAGCCCTGTGGGATTGGTTAGTCCTGAATGTCACTTTCACTAGTCTTTTATGTCTTTCTAAAAACTGATATATGTTTGTGATACATGATAATTACATTCATTTTGGAGAACTGGTACACATAATATAACATCCTAAGGATTTTTACTTCCTCTTTCCCTCTTCCACATCCTTGGATCACCTTCCTATGCCTATGGCATTTTAAGATGCATTGAAATAACATTAATCACTTCATTATGTCTTACTATTCCACAAACAATGAGTTCTGAAAATTTCAGTAAAAAGAGAAGCTCAATTATGAAACAAAATATTGAATTAATAAAAATTTGTGAGTTTATGAAAAACTAAATAGAAACAATTCATATATAGGGGATGTGTATATGGAATGAATTCATTAATTGTACAGAATGATTTTGTGAAAGATAAACTATTCACACATGCAAGCTATTGTACCTATGTGTATCTATTAAGACTTGATTGCAGAAAACCCAAAACATCAGTTATTTTAAACAGAAATCCATTCAGTTTTCAGATTTAGGAGCTTACAAACCCCCCAGAAGCTGATCCTAGGATGTATCCCAGGATGATTTCCAGAGTAATTTCACAAAGTGACCTAACGACTCTGCTACTTCTTCCAACGTCAGTCACGTAGGGGAAACCATGACAGGACCTATGACTCAGGAACACACTCTGGTAGTTGTAACAAGACTATTTTGCTGCCATCACTACAGCTGTCTCTTGAAACCCACAGGCTAGTGATCAGACATTGGAATTTGTAGACGAAAAACCGAATTTAAAGGATTTAATTTCCTTGCAGCTGTGTGGTGCATGTAATTTAGGCTTGTCAAAGCTACGAGAAGCCAACTTCTCCTGTACTTACAGTTCTATCAAACCCTTTTATTTTCACAAATTGGTAGACACTGTAAGTTGATCTTCTCTCTTCTACAGTGTGAGAGATCCATAAGCAGCCTTTCTCAATTGAGATTCTGCAAGTGAATTAACTTTCTAACCCCAAAACACATCTGCTGTGTAATGTATTGGCTTATTTTCTAAGTAGCTAGCATAGTCATTGTTATGTTCCAGTTGGGGAGAACTGAGAACATGGTCACCTAAGTTGTTCTCTGTGTCCTGTGGTTCAGATGAGGGGCATCACTTGAGAGTCTCCTGCACCATGATGGTCTCACTGAGTCTAACGAAGGCCTGGTCTACAGCTGACAACCTGCAAGTTGCCACCTAAAGGTGAGATGTCATATTCAGAGATGGCCACATTTACTCTCAGCTATGCTTAACCACCCGAATCTCTTCCTCTGGGGAGACGCGAAGGCACATTTTGATCTTTAGAGGTTTGTCTGCCAATGGAAACCTTTATGGGGAGAGAAGGAAAGGTGCAGGATTTTAGAGTCAGGAAGAAGTACATTCAAATCAACTCATACTGTTGATGCATTAATGAGAACCTGCAAGAGCCATCTTAAGTCTTCTGAGCCTCAGTTTAGCAGTTTAGAACAGAGTGGCTGTGATACCATGTCTGAAGTACAGAGTCTTGCGTGCAGTGATTTAGGTAGAAACACTCAGCGTTTGGTGGGCCAGCAGAACACTGGCTCACCTCTGCCAATGCAACCTCTCCTTCCTCCTGTCATTTTCTGTCCTCCTTTGTCTCTTCCCCTTCTCCTTCCCTGTTGTTAGACTTTTAGTAGCACCATTTCCCCCTCTAAAAGCAAGAAGTAAAAAATCTTGCCCTGACAAAGGAAGGCTATGGGACCAGCTGATAAAAAGCCTCAGAAGGAAGGTTTAGCAACAAGGTCAGCTCCTTCCTCCAGGTTAGTCACTAGGTCACTAGGGTGAGTTCAGTGATCAGTGTAGCCCATAGTACAAAGCACAATGAACTCTTTAGGGAGCTTCTAATAACCTCTCTGGATGGACAGATTTCAAACTCCTTGTACCTGTGACTTATCTCTCCTAGTCTTACTTATGTGGCCTTGCCCCAGGCACAGCATAACCTCTACACTTCTTCGCAGTCCAGAGAGCAGAAGCTTGGGAGAAACCTTCTTTTCCTTGTCCTTTCAACCGAGATAGTGCTGGATGTCTTAGGCACGGTACCAAGAATGTGTGTAGTTATTTTGAGTGTGTGTGGTACAAAATGTGTATTCCTGCAGCACTCTAGAAGAGAAAACTGTATGCGTGAGTGTCAAAAACATGATAGATTAATTTATAATACTATATAAAAGCAACGTAAACATGGAATGCCAGTAACAGCTTCATTTATTTGGGAACAATGAACAATGAACTTTTACGTTGCTATAGTAAATACAAAGGAAACATAATAACAGAATATACACTTTAATTATGTAATGGCAAGTCAGCTGGAATTCTAGTTACCTAGCTGCACAAGTACTTGTTCATGTAGATTACTGAATTACTTTGAATGCTTGAGTGTACCCAATAGAAATCACAATTTCTGTTTTGATAATTGCTGTTTGTGCAAAAACAAAACAGTTTTAATGCACGTATCTTTTGATACCTATGACTCTTTGTAATAAACATTTTCTTTTAGTTGCCAAACATTTTCAATGCCTGCCCTGTGTTTGCAATATTCTACACTCAGGGCAGAGATGATCAATTTCCCTCTCAAATGTGTGTCCCTCTTCCACAGTATATAATTGTCCTTTGGAAGTGGTTATGCCATTCACTCCTCTTGCATCAGTGTGGTCATGTTATTTGTTTTTGCCATCACAATGTGAAGTGAGGTGATGGGTGTGACTTCTGGAACTGGGCTTTTACAAATGAGACATGACTTATGCTTCCCGTTGTACCAAGTCTGGAACCCAATGGCTGATTCCGGAAGGAAACATAAAGCAAATGTACGAAGTTGTTCAGTGAACGTGGTGAAGGCCTTCTTAGAGTGAGAGATATGGATCCAAGGGGACAGGCCGGCTGGGGAATGCACTAGTGGGCTCTACAGGAAGGATTGTAGCAATGTCATTCCGCAGAGTGGC